GGTCCTCTCTCTTACTTGCAAGGTGTCACATGACTACTGAATGACTCGATAGAACAAACGACAGAAGGAAAACAAATAATGCGTCTCAAATGAAGTGACCTAACGTATTATTCGTCTAGGTAAATACGAAAAATAAGACGCATAAATTGTCAGATAAACTTGATAATGTTTTACGTCCTGGAAGACGCAAAAGTTATACGTATTTTTCGACTCGGACTTATGATTTGTTTAGGTAAATGCGAGAAGCGTGAAACAGACGAACTTATCTGAACTTTAAATCTGTTCAATTAAAATTTGCAATCAAGCGAACAACAGTTTCCCACAATGCCTTCTATTTTGCAACACAAGTTTTATGGGTATTCAATAGTGTGCGTGTGCGATCGCGTGACCTCAACTGTCCAGACCATTTTGACCGCTTTTCTCAGTGTTTTCTTTCTTGAAAGCAGGCAGTGGACATTTGATTTAATCACAGAAAAGCCGTAAAACAACTATTTTACTCTAATGCAAAAGAAAATAGATATCTAGTATGAGCCGTGGATCCATAGGGAGTCTGCCTCATTAGCATAATCGATTCAGTTTTTTACAATAACTGTCTAATTTCTCGCGCGCTGAGTGGCTCATTTTTATCATCAGTAAGAGTACAGACGCATAAAAGTTTAATTTATGCAAGCTTTCAAGTTCAACTCTCAGCCGTCAAACTGTCAACTTTTTAACCAATGAGATTTTATGGACTTTTTTTAAATAGCCAATCAAAAAGTGAGAAAACTATTGACAATGTTCACGTCATTTTGAATAAAATTCACTTATCTTTGTATACGGCAAGTTTATGGCGTCTTTTCCCCTCGTTTATTCCCAGCATTTGACCATTTTGGGATCTTGTTTTTGTAAACAACAAATTGACGTCAGTTTTTTATGCGTCTGTCCTCTTATTGATGATGAATTTCGTCATAACATTGTCAAAGTTTACTGCGAAACCACTCGCCTGCGGATCGTGGTTCCACAGTTACTTTGACAATGTTATGACGCAATTTATCATCAATAAGAGGACAGACGCATAAAAAACTGACGTCAATTTGTTAATCTGATAGCTTCTGATCGAGCTTCAAATATATCAGTTCTGAGTACTGAACGACCATAGCACTATTAACATTACTGTACCAAGGAATTTCAGAACGATAAATGGATTACTTTTTGTGCAGCAGGGATTTAAAAATTTATAATTTAACTTAGAATGTAGTTAGTTCTTTAGCACTTTTGCCATCCAGAAATTTTTGCAGTCTCTTCGCAAAGTCGTATGCTGATAACGTAAAATGAAAACAATGACGGACGCTTCTCAATGTACGTACATTCCGC